ATAATTCTAAATCTAGAATCTAACCCTAAGAATCTAACTCTAAAAGACATAACATGTTAGAACCTTTGGTTGCTAAACCATTAACATTGTGTACCACATAGTTCCCAAATCAATATACATTCTTTAAAATTGTTCAATTATAAGAAAATTTAATTTATCTACCTCATACTAACCTTTAAATTGATGATTTATTAAAAAATTTACCAAAAACATTTTTTCTACATTTTTAAATTAAATTATTTGATTAAATTAAGATGTAGACTAAATAATAAGTCTACATTAGTTTACACAGTAGACGTTAATGTAAGTCTACCTAGTTGTAGACTTCTTTCTTAAAGTGTAGACTTACGAAGGATAGAATCGTAAAATATACTGCACGTTTTTTGTTTGTTCATAAGGGTTAAATAGTAGTTTTAACACCCCTTTAGGTTGGGTTTGCAATTGATTGAATAAGGAGTGCACCTTTAGGGTTAAAATGAATATTTGGGTTGGTTTTGGCAATTCCCCCTTATATAATAAGATGCTACGCCACGCTGAAAGAGTCCAAATGATACTACAAATAGAAATTACAAAATCAAAATATCGTGGAGGATAGTTATCAGTTATCATCGAGTACATTAGTATGAAGAGATTTTTTGGTTGAATTGAAAATAGCAATATTATACTACTATATTCATATTCAAACTAACAAAACTGAACGAACCCATGTTGAACAAGAAGATTGATCCATTGACATTGTGTAAAGAGAAAGTAAAGAATTTGGTCAAAACGTCATAAAAAAACCAGCATGGCTGATAATAACACATGGGCCAACACCAAGCAAATCCTTTCAATTGCAGCCATGGTTTCATTTTATGCATCTAAGACAGGTAAGAAGAAGCATCCGAGTGTTACAAAGTAATGATCATGCCCAAAAACTATGTGTTTCTTGTATCATCATCAATCTATTGTGAGCAAATAAAGTGGTGTTTTGTTAATAAGATTCCAATATATAAACGCACACATCTCTTCCCTGATTCTTCAAAGAATACTAATCATATTGAGACATGTAAAGCAAGATGAAAGAGATTTGTCTCTGTAACTAACTACATAGCTAGACTGTGACTGATCATTCCTCTAGACAATGTTGAAGAGTGAAAAATACGAAGGGTCTTACTCTCAAGGTTTCATTGTTTTTATCTTCCTTGTACAAGACCACTAAAGACTTGGCTGTTTCCAGCAAGAGTTGCTTCCCATTCAATGGAAGACAAGAGTATCTGCGAGAGTGATATAACCACTTGCTTCATGTTTGGTCTTAGAATCGGATCATCATCCACGCACTGCTTTGCCAACATTGCAATCTGTCCACAAAAATGCACATGCCTAATGTTAAAAAAAATCAAATGGTAACTATGTTTTTTCAAACTACTAAGAATTTTATTTCTTCGTATCACCTTGAACAAGCAGTCATGCGGGTATAAATCCATCATGTTGGGATCGACAAACTCCTTCAAACTCAACATATTCATAGAGTCTGGTGAGTTCTTAAGAGCAGCTAACATCTACAACAAAAAATGCTTTAGGCAATGAATGCTGCATCAAAGAAGTGTATGTAGACTCCAAGAACTTACAATAGAAGCCAATGGACGTCTCTCTGTATTCTTAGTTCCCATTGCCTCTGTTCTTATAACAGCTTCTCTTCCAGAAATAATCTCAAAAAGAACAACACCAAAGGCATAAACATCGCTTTTCGAAGTGGCACGACCATCACTTAGATATCTGTAGAGAAGAAGATATCACTAAAGCTTTCTTGTATGAAAACTTTGAATGTAGCTTCAGGTTTTTAAATGCTTACTCTGGTGCAAGATAACCATATGTACCAACAACTTTAGTAACAGAAATTTCACCCTCTCCAGTTTTCTCAACTAGTTTTGCAAGTCCAAAATCTGATATCTGAGACAGGTACAAAGATAAGATCAACTCAATTGTCATGTTTAAGGATCATAACATGTAATGGATTCAGACCTTAGCCCTGAACGCCTCATCCAGTAAAATATTGCTTGTCTTGATGTCTCTATGAACATAATGAGTTTTAGTATGTTCATGAATATATTCCAAGCCTCTTGCTGTGTCAAGTGCAATCTGATTCCTCATTATCCAAGACAGTGGGGTATTGCCTTCAAGAACATTAATGAATATATCAGTATCATCATCATGTTCTCGTTATGTCTTGTTGGTATTAGTCTCTTTACCTTTGCTCTGAGGATCATGCAAATGGTTTTTCAGCATTCCCTTTTGCACATATTCATACACTACGAAAAGCTCATCACTGGTTGCAGCATAACCAATCAACTCTACCTTTTGACAAGAATAAAAGCAACCCCCAAAAGTCATAATCTCTAATGGTTAAGACGCATAAAGAAGACTTACACACAACATGAGGATTACCAGATTGGAATGATGAACTTTGCAAAGAACTTTCATCTCTGCTGCAAACTCTTTAGTCTTTGTAGCAGTCATCCTTTTGACAGCAACTTCCTGTGATAAAGTTTAATCAATGTGAAAGCCAGGGAAAAATGAACTTTTTATTTCTCAAATATTTCATACTCATATTGCTTGCACGAATTTATTCTCCGAGTAATCATTTACTACGCAAAATTAGAAACGAAATATTCAACCATTAACGAATGAATGAACAGGAGAACAAAGCATTTTTCAAGGGCTGACTACTTTAATCCTAATTTTGCGTATTTAATACTTGAGTACCGATTGCAAACATTTGAGTAATTAAAGAAAACTAATTTTTATGTTATGATCTATATAAGTTTTTAAGTCAAAGAAGCGGCATACGAAGATGTGACTTAAGACACAACAAACCTGTTCTCTAAGTAGACCAAAGTATACTGAACCGTAATTTCCATGGCCAAGAAGATTAGTATCAGAGAATCCATCTGTAGCTGCAGAGATTTCTTCATATGTAAAGACCATAGGCTTCTCTATCTCAAACACTCCATCACCAAGAGCTTTAGGAACAGCAACAACTTGATGATGGCTCTGAGTTTCACCGTTGTTCTGTCTAAAATCCCCGGATCTGCAGCAATTATACCTACTAGACCCGCAGAAGAAACTGGACTTTCTAAGGATTTGGAAGCTGTGTTCATTACCATCTTCATCACTAGAGCTGCAGCCAGATGATCTCAAACAGATACACACAAGTATACACATCACAAGAAGTGCAAGCACAACAGTAAGACCACCAACAATCCATATATAAGGGACATGACCTCCCTTTGAAGTGTGGTTCACCTGGTCAGCAGCTTTTCCAAAATTGGAACACCATACACAAATGTGAGCTTCATGATACTAAAAATAGAAACTCTGAGATTCACAGATTAAGACAAAAAGAAACATTAAATAAAAACCTGAGATATTGCTGTTGGTTAAAACAGAAGAAGGCGAAGGAGAAGGAGCAGGAGGGTTTATCTTTCTTGCTTCGTAAGGCACTCCAGGTACTTAAACAAGATGACAAGAACAAGATCATTAAACTGGTTTGTCTTAAAAAATTTTAAAATATGACATGCAACCCCCAAAAGCCTAATTCAAGAAAATCAAATTGAAGATTCTTTACCAGAATCAAGAGGGATGTAAATGAGATCTCCGGTTGTGATATTATCAGGATTCGATATTCCATTAACCTCCTCGATTCGATCCATACTAACACCAAACCGGCTCGAGAGAGACTGAACACTGTCTCCAGAGAGCGTCACGTAGCTCATAAGGTAGTTCCAGAGACCACTCGAGCAACCACATAGAAGCTGCACAGACACAACCGCGCCGGCACTAGATGCTCTACTAGTGTTGGGTGGGAAAGCGAGACCAGAGTAAGCAGAGACGACAGCATCGTAGACGTAGCCACTGTTTTGTCTGATTGTGAATGTCGTGTTCGTTGCGTACTGATGAGGAGTCGTGGTGAGACAAGAACAGTTCTTCTTCACGTAGATGTATCCTCCTCCTCCGCCGTCTTCTCTGGTGATATCGGTGGTTATGTCCGATGGTAATGCGTCGAACATACTTTGGATTATTGAGAAAGTTTGGTTTTGGTTTGGTCTGAAAGCGAGGAAGGAAGTGCAGAGACGGGAAGTGTCGGTGCAATTCATTGGCTTCGAGGAGGAGAGATTCGGTGAGATGAAGAAGGAGAGAAGAATCAAGAAACTGGAAGCTGAGAGATTCATCGGAAGAATGTTTTTTTTTCTTAAGGATTTGAGAAGAAAGGATCTTGATTTGATGAAAGAGAGTGGTGAATTGAGATGGGTTTTGATTGGTTTTGTTAATGGAGGTGTGAGGAAACAAGATGAAATCTCTCAGACATGGGAGAAGAGTGAAACTCACAGTCTCTTGTCGGACTAAAAGATCTTTAAAATAAAAATATTAGAGATTTTCCAAAATAAATAATTTCTTTTATATACTTTTGTAAAGTGAGTAGATATTTAGTGTATTTAATTAGGTTCGATGTTTGGTTTAATACCTACTACTAATGTGGATTTATATTGTTGTCCGAGCTTGAGGATGATTAGCTACAGTTGATGTTGCAAGATCATAGAATTAAGAGAAATTAGGAGTCCTACCAAAAACATTTCGTGTAATTTGCAATATACCAAACTCTCAAAAACATATGACTGTTCAAGATGTTTTTTTACCCTGCTACCCTTTCTACATAAACCATCTCACCTGACCGAAAATGTAGGGTAGTCCAGATCTTCTTCTAAATTTTGTCAGAGCGTAAACAATTTCTCTCTCAATTTCTTTGCACGATTTTCAAATATGAAAATTCTGTAATTTTACTCTCTCTCATCTCTCACACTATCTCAAAATTATTTTTTGTTTGAAGACCAAATCCCCATTTCGAAGTGAAATCTTAGAAATCATCATCAACCACAAAGATTCTTTTGCGCTGCCATCATAGAAAACACAAGCGTTGTGGTGCGTCACATACTTGAAAAGCTTCCGCCGGAAACCACCGATGAGAAGCTTTGTTTCTCCCAAGAACGATGGAGTTCTTCTTTAGTCACACAAGTGCTGATACTCTTAGTGATGATCAACCCCACCATCCAAAACAAATTTGATCGGGATAGATGATGACACACCAAAAAAAATCACATGATGTGATCGGAGAAGAAAATATACTGACATGGTTGTCACTGAATAATGAACAATGCTAAACTTTATTTCTTTTGGTATAAATCTAGTTTAACTTGTTAAAAAAAATTTTAGCTGGGTTTTAAAAGTTTTATCCGGATAGCCTAAAGTTGAATTAGCTGGAGACATAATAAATCTAAATAGCGTAAAGTTGAATTAGCCAGAAACATAATTTATTAACTTATTATTTTTATAATGTTTATATCAACAATGTCTTAGTATCTGGTTAATAAATCTAATAGATGTACAATACATATTTGTTAGCCGGCTAAACTATATTTTCACTTAAAAGTCATATTTTATGTCCACATAAGGTGTTCGAAAAAAAAATTTTAATTTGAATAAAAAAATTTACCTAGTTTATCAACATATTAGACAGTAAATATAGTTGAGTTAGTCAGAAACATAATTTTTTAACTTATTATTTTTATGATGTTTATATCAACAAAGTTTTAGTATCTGGTTAAGAAATCTAATAGATGTGTAACACATATTTGTTAGCCAACTAAACTATTTTTTACTTAAAATGCAATATAGGTGTTCCAAAACATCAAAATACTGCTTTTCACCATTTCTGATTCCTAAAAATAGTTACCCGGCCAAACTACAAATTGCTTGTATATTTTTTTATAAAACCATTAATAAATTTGTTGGCTTGCTAATTATTATATCATCATATATCTATTTGTGAAGGTTATGAGATCGAATCTCTAACTTTAATCGAAACTCTTGGGTTATGCAGGTGGAATGAGAGGTGCTGTTTAGACGCATTGTTTTGATCGCCGAGTAATCCGAGGAGTCTACAGGATATAAAAAGATGAAAGACAATGAAGTTCAAGAGATAGAATAATTCAAGAACTCACAGAAAAATAACCAGATAAACTCATGAATTATTCAGACTTCATGATCTTCTTCATTTATGTTTAGATTTAATATTAAAAAAAAGAACAGAGAAAGAAGATTGAAAAAAAAAGACAGCAGCAATGAAAAACGATATGATTTTGGGTTGAATAATCCACACAACTGTATATCTTCGTTAACAAAGATAAGTTTTGCAAATCTAACCCAAATCTTTTTATATCTTTCCAAATCTACATAAATCTTTTTGTCAGGTTATAGGTGTACGTCACCTAAACTATGGAAGGCTAGAGACTGAGCGGGCAGGGTAGTTTAGTCTTTCTTACACCTCTTCATTTGCCACGTACACACATGTTTTCAACATTTTGGTATTCTCCTAATTTCCAAGTCTTTCTATGGTTTCTACCTAATTTGCTCTAGAATTAAATCTAAATTTTCTCAATTGTTATACAAAGGGGTTTGTACTTACGGTCTACCGGCTGTAAACACAGCGGTTGCAAATGTAGCAGCAGAAATTTACGGATGCTACTAGTCGCGGTATTATGCGATTTATAGTATAGTACAATAAAAAAAAATTATAGGGAGATTGGTTGATTACCAAATGCAAAATAAATTAGTAATATTAATATTTTATATAGATAAAATTTTACGATATTCTAATTTTTTTTTGTCGCAAATATAACATTCAAATATCAAAATGACCAAAATATATTTCATTAAAGAGTACACGTATACTTATATCTCTATGTTTAACTAATTTAGATTTAGTATTTAGATGTGCGTGATGGAGTTTGGGGTGGGTTTAAGATTTTAAAACATATTTAAATACTTCCGAATTCTTAAAAAAATTAAAAATAGTTTCAAAAGAAATTTTATGAACTTCAAAAAAAAAATTTTAAAACAATTTTTAAAAGGTGCAAATTTAAAAATGTATAGTTCGAAAACTATAAAAAGTAATATTTTTTATTTATTTATTTTAAACAATAATTTTCTATTTATATATCTATAAAGAAAAGAGTACAATGGGCTTTTATCTCTTTAATGAAATCTCTTCTGGTCATTTTTCTCATTAAAAACTTTTTGATGAAAAAAATATTTTAAAATTATTTGAAAGAACTACTTTTTCTATAACTAAAAATATTAAAACTCATTATTATAATAAATGAACGGATGCATTAGCTAAAGAATCGAGAAGTAGAGGCTATTCATTTTTCTATGTAGAACTGACCCGGCCAGACGGAGTTTCTCCCGAGAGAATCGACTCGACTGGTCACCACTTGATCTAGAGTAAATGAGCGATTAACAAAATAAAAATAAATAAAAATAAAAGTAAAATTATATTTATAAAATCATTTAAAAATCATTTTAGGTTTGTATTTATATATATATATATGTTAAATATTTTTCTTTTGAAGTTTAATAATATAAACTAATATATATATGTATATATATGTATATTATTTATATCACCTCAATTCAAAAACATATAATGATTTTTTTATTTATCTTGTTTAGTTTTTTTTATTTACCATCTTGTAACCATCTGTAATCACAAATATTAGCTAAAATTAATCAAAATTTTTAAGAGGATTGGGCTGTGTAAAACAGTTTATGGTATTTTTTGTGCTTGTTATAATACATCAAAAACTATTACCACGAGCAAATGTTAGCGGCAAAATCAGTCAAACCCTTATGCATATAAAAAAAACTCTCTCTGCGTTTTTCAACATTTAAACATTTTTAAAAATAAATTATTGAAATACCTGATATTTTTTAATTTTTAACATATTTCTCCCTAAATAAGCTTTTTGTTCTTCTACAACTACTATCAAGAAGAAGAGTCGGTATTAATGATCTAAGAATAGTCCTTGGTTTTGTGAAAGCTTAAGATACTTTTCTAAACAAATATTATGTTAGAGCATTTGTATTGGGTATCTAACTACATGGTCCCAAATGAAATATTTTGGATTGATTTTTCATAATTTTAAGATATTTATAATTAAATAATAATTGTTATATATGAGTTGATAGTTATATAACTAATAATATTTGAATTGATAACTCGATGAAGAAAAATTCCACTGAAATTACTCTTATAATATTAAAATTAGTATACATTAAATTGAGAGTATTTTTGTTTGCATAAACCATAATATAGTAAAACCTCTATATATGATGTAAAACTTTTGATATTTATTAATTCATAAAGTTATTAATATATAAAAATATTTTTTAGATTTATATATTATGAAGTATCTTGATTAAGTTTTATTGATCCCTAATTTTTATTGTTCTTATTCGATTATTTGATGCATATCGTAAATATAATGTATTTTATACAAAATGAAAAAATAACATCAGTGTATTTACAGATATTATAAAAAATAAGATAAACTCACTATAAATAAAAAGTTACTAGGTAATATATTCATTATATTTTTATAAATTTTATAAATACCAATTATTAATTTATGTTTATATTGGGTATATATATTTACATAGGTTTTCAAAAATAATTATCTTATTATTTTATTAAATTGTGTCATATTTTATATTGGTCTAGTTTGAAACCGGTAAATTTGTTAATTTATAAGTATTTATTTATAGAATTTTTAGTGTATATTATTTTATAAATAGCATTTTAATTTAATAATAATACTATGGTAAATGGTATGTTAACGAACCACATGTTGACAAAAAAAAAAAGGTACCGCATTGAATAGCATTGACTGCACACAGTAAAATCCAGATCTAGGAAAATCTTTTCTTTCTTTTTTTTTGTAACAGGGAAAATCTATTTCTCTGTTGAAAAACAGATGAATGTGGAGAGGGCTATTTGGTAGTAAATGACTAAATATCTGCAGAAAATGGATAGGCGTGGATAATATAAAATTGTCAACGTATAGAGATGTGTCGTTATCATGAAAAGGAAAATATATATAAATAGATTAATTAAGCAAAAGTTTTGAAGATTTTTGCTTTATAGATTGGAAGTAAGATAATACCCAAAAAAAGATTGGAAAAAAGACGGTTTAGGTAAGAAAATAATATTTATTTACTAAGACTTAGCAAAGTGTTTTGACAAAAAAATATAAATATAGGAAGCAATGCGTTAAAAGAGTGTACAGAGAGCAATGAGCTGTTACTGACAAAAGACACTTTGGTTATGTCCCACCACACCCCCCAGATCACGTTGTGGACACATGTTGTCAATAATTAGAAGTAAATCAATTTACACATGTTCTTTATTGATAATCAGCTTAAAATTTACATAATGGTTTAGATTTCTACTACGGATTTCA